AATAAAGTTTTTGCATGGAACTTTGGCTAGGCCATTATAACACTTGAATATCCATCTTTCTATCTGTGTTATATACCTTCTTTCATCCTTTTAGGATCAGCAGGAAGCAAGCGGGTGTACCCTAACAAGTTTTGTGCAATGCTTTCTACACTTACGCTTTAGTTTTGTTTTGGTGCTCAGTAAAGCACTCTAGATTGCCTCATGTATGAGTTGTTCGGTATAAATAAACTTGTGTTACCTTACTAGTCGATCACAAGACAAAAAACCGCATTCCAACACTCACTAAGGGTGATATAGATTTCCAAATCAATCTTTCATGCATGTTTTTGGAGAAAGGAGGAAGCCAGAGTAGTTCAAAGTAAAACTTAAAGCAGAAATATTCCCTGGGTTGGTTTCAAACCCAGAGATTTCTTGCTGAGAAGCAAAACACTAAGAACTATTTCACTTCACTGTCCGTCATAGGAACATGCTTTGATATAAAAAATTCCAGTTTAAATATAGCTGTACATGTTCGGTCATTGTCCAGCTGTAGCCTGCTTTGGGTAAGCATCCCACAGTATGATGCATCCTCTGTCATGTTTCACTGTGGGACTGAATGTAGACCAAAGTTACAATTTGCTCTCTTATCACTTTTTTTTTTCATATGTTTGAAGTAGCATGCTATGCAGATGACATCTGGTGTCTCCTGAAAGCAATCGTTTGAACTGCGTCATACTCCAGGAAATTAGAGTATGAAGTAATAATATGAATATGAACTCCATTTTTTGTGATTATTATATGCAAAAATTCAAAGAATTATGCACCTGTTTCCTACGGAAAAGGATTAGAATTAGAATCTCAGAATTCTGAGATTAAAGTCAGAATTCTAAGACTAAAGTCAGAATTCTGTTTTTTTATTTTCTCCTATTCTACGGAAATAAAATTTAAAAATCAGTTTACTTTTTTTTTTTAGTGGCCCTAATCCTCTTCTGTTTGTAGCCACATTTAGTAGCCTATCACATCAAAACACTGAAGTTTTAGCTACAGGACAAGCCAGAAGATTCAAAGGCTATGATAATATTTTGGAAAGCTCTTTACAATTCTGTATGTGGAAAATAAAATTATCTGGTTTTCTATTAAAAATTAAAAAAAGAAGGTATATGTAACAAAAGTAGTTAACCATAAAAGTTAATCCATAATTTGTAAATTTCATGTTCAAATCTAACATTTTAATAAAAGATCTATTAAGAATGAATACGAATAGTGAATATTTCCAGAATTTTCTGAAGTTTGAGACAGTTTTAAGTTAAATAGATTTTTTAAAATTATCATCTCAGTTTCTTTTTGTTTGGTTTTATAATAACTATTGTACGGAAGAGGATTAGGGCCACTCAAAAAAAAAAAAAAAAACTTAACTAATTTTTATATATTATTTGAGTTTAATATTGGAAAAATGTCAGAATTCTGACTTTAATCTCAGAATTCTGACTTTAATATCAGAATTCTGGCTTCTTTCTCAGAATTCTTACTTTTTTCTCAGAATCGTGACTTTTAATGATCTTCTGCTCTTCCATTCATGAAATAGCATGGGGACCCCTTGGCGCGTAAAAAGTTGCCTAATTTCATAATTTTTCACCAATGTGTTACTGGCCCTCCCACAACTCACATCTTTGTCAGTGAAGCTGAGTGCATCTCTTCCTTCATGGTGCCCATCTGAATTAAAGGAATAGTACACCCAAAACATGATTAGCCTTCATTTTCTACTCACCCTCATGCTGAACAACACTCTGGAGTACTTTTTTGATATCTCAAATGCATCTGGAGATCTGGGAGGCTTCTTGCTGTCTGCTGACATTCAAATAATGGAGGTCTATGGCGCCCGAGGCAGAAAGGTCCATAAAAGTCCACAAAAAACGTGTCAATATTCCTCCATACTGCTCGTCCAATGTATTCCAAGTGTCCTGGGTGGGTAGCATCCAGAATTTACTCGAAACGAAGTCATTTAGAATGTTTTTAGAGCATAAACAGTAGTGTATAGGATTTCCTGAAAGCGCGCGCCTGCGCGTTCACGACGCTACGGAAGCCGGCAGACCAAACCAGATGAAAGTGCGCATTCAGCGTCTGCTCTGCCAATAATGCAAGCGTAGAATAAGAAATGTGCGGTTTACCTGTGCAAAGAAAGAAACAACGAAAGAAAAATGTCTGAGGACTTCAGTGTTGAGGAAGAGCATGAGTTCTTTGCCGAGCTGAATGCGCTGGTTTGGTCTGCCGGCTTCCGTAGCGTCGTGAACGCGCATGTGCGCGCTTTCAGGAAATCCTATACACTACTGTTTATGCTCTAAAAACATTCTAAATGACTTTGTTTCGAGTAAATTCTGGATGCTACCCACTCAGGACACTTGGAATACATTGGACGAGCAGTATGGAGGAATATTGACACGTTTTTTGTGGACTTTTATGGACCTTTCTGTCTCGGGCACCATAGACCTCCATTATTTGAATGTCAGCAGACAGCAAGAAGCCTCCCAGATCTCCAGATGCATTTGAGATATCAAAAAAGTACTCCAGGGTGTTGTTCAGCATGGGGGTGAGTAGAAAATGAAGGCTAATCATGTTTTGGGTGTACTATTCCTTTAAGATCCAAAATTCTAAGAATAAAGTCAGAATTCTGAGAAACAAGTAAGAATTCTGAGATTAAAGTCAGAATTCTGAGGGGGAAAAAAAGAATTCTGAGATTAAAATCAGAATTCTGAGATTAAAGTCAGAATTCTAACTTTTTTCTCATATTATATTGAAATAAAATTAAAAAATCCGGCAACTTTTTTTGATTTTTCAGTGGCCCTAATCCTCTTCCGTACTGTTGCGCCTATTCTATATATATATATAACTCCCACCGACATCTTCTCGCCTTTTAACATAAATTCCTCTCACTCGCTGCCTTTTCCTGCTATGATGCAACCAGCAGTGGGCATTTGTACCGGCAGATCCAGTGTAAAGACATGCAGAAATAAAAGAGAAAACCCAAAGGCGGTGTCAATGCGAAGTTTCCTTTTGTTTTTGTTGCAGACCTGTGTGTTTGCTTCTCCTCTTGTTGTGCAAATGTCTTTGCAGACTTGGGAATTAAATTCACCCTCCTCTCTTTGCGCTGCTGCCGCAGATTATTAATCTAATCTCCAGGGAAATAGACACCGATCTAATTACTACACGTCCTTCTCAACTCCAACCATATATCCTATTTATGTTTTCTTTCTTTTTTCTTTTTTTGCGCGCGCGTTAAAGATCAAACGCAAATAAAGCAACAGGTGATATCTGCAAAATGTGGAACAACTTGCAGTTTGCGCCTTTAACAGCCCTTTAACAGCACCGATTGTGATGGAAAACGAGCAGGTAAAGATGTCCAGACCTATTCCAGGACCAGAGACGCCTTTTCTAACGAAATCACGCAGTAACTAACTCTGTAAAGGCTACATTTCCATTGAATTAGATTAGATAGCATCTTTAAAAACATGACAATTGTAACTGATGCTGCAAATAAAGCAATTTACCCACGTTACCATGGATCAGTTCCTAATTGTAATTAATGTAACCCCCTTTAGAGTTTTTTAATTAAAGAAATGCATTTTCAGACATTTCTGTTTAGTTTATTGTTATTTTATTTGTGGCAAATTCAGTAATTTTCCACAAGAATGTTTCCAATTATTGAGATGGTTTAAAATTTAGTCTCATTAAAATCTCTACTGTCTGTTTTAATGACAGTAACAGAATACATACATTAATAAAAGCAGATATTTGTGCATTTAGACTGTTTCCCTTGAATTTTTTCCCCCACTGCCATTAGACTGCTGAATGTTTTGTGAAATGGGTTATTGTATTGTATTTTGTTATACTTATTATATTTTATCATTATATAAAATAAAAAAAATGTTAGAACTGTAAATTTACAGTCATTTTTTTCTATTTTTCAATGCTGCACTTTTAAAAAAAGATGAAATTGTTCAGAGAGCTGTTATCAAATGAAATTTCTTTTTCTTTATACTTGTGTAATTAAAAAAAGACAAATAAGATCTCTCTAAGTCTAATTTCCAGGTTTTAACAGTTTGAATAAAAAAGCTAGCTCTGTCACTGTGTTTCTCAGGTAAAACGTTAAATAAATCATTAAATTTATGGAAGATATTAAATAAAAGATAAGGATGCCACTTTTAGATTAATATTTAACCTTTGCTGAAACCTTGTTTCCTGCAATGATTTAAGAGGAAACCCAAAACTTGGCAGTTAATCAGCTGGATTTTCTGCTGACATGAGGGAGCTACTTCCACTTTTTGCTATAGCATCTGAAAACAATTAAGAAGTGCTTACCAATCTAAATCTTTATTAGTTCAAAATTAAAAGAAAAACTAGAAGAGGAAGTGACTCGGTCTTTTCATTTTTTTTCTTGCATTTCTGTTGCTTTGGATGATGATTTGTCTGAACTGATACACCCACTGACACCAAAATAAAGCTGACAGAGTATCTGTAAATGTGAAGGAATCTGAGTGTGGTAGAGTGTTAATGAACTCTTATCTCTGATGCTGTTTGATTAATTTTATATTGACACCAAACATTGGTTCTGTAAGAAGACAAAAAAATGTGTGGATGTTAAATGCATCAGTAAAAAATGGCTTAGAACTTAGTAATATGCTGTTCCCCCTCTCAATAATCAGAAGCTTTAAATGAAATGTCTTAATTTTCCCTCTTCAGCGGAGTGTTGCTTTGCAGATCTGGAAACGTTGCCAACATTAGGCCTGTCTGCATCTGCAGGGGACTGCAGTGGGGCTCCTTGTCCTGCAGGCAGAGGGAAGGGCTGTGCCAGAAGAGGTGAGAGAGAGGGGCAGAGGGAGGAGGAGGAGGGGGAGAGCTGATAGATGTTTCACTGTTGGGGGAGGATAAGGAGGAGGGGGAGGGCAGGGGGTCGTTCTGGGAGGGAACCAGGGGTGTAGAGGGCCGAGTTTAAAAAGGCAGACAGCGCAGGCAGCCCTTCATTCTTAGTTGCCCGTTGCTCCACAAGAACTTTATTTTTTTTGCTTTGACTCTCTTCACTGGGAACTGCAAGGGAAGCTTATCTCTGCTGAGGACTTTTGTTTTGTTTTGCCACTGCATGATGGAGGCCACTACTGCGGAATATGGTGACGGTTATGAGTATTATGATGACAATGAAACTGCCTGTGACTACTCAGAGTGGGAGCCCTCTTACTCGCTGATTCCAGTGCTCTACATGCTGATTTTCATCCTGGGCCTGTCGGGTAATGGTGTGGTCATCTTCACCGTGTGGCGATCCAAGTCTAAGCGCCGGGCTGCAGACGTCTACATTGGGAACCTGGCCCTTGCCGACCTCACTTTCGTTGTAACCCTACCTCTGTGGGCTGTGTACACTGCTTTGGGCTACCACTGGCCGTTTGGTGTGGCCCTGTGTAAGATAAGCAGCTATATTGTTCTGGTCAACATGTACGCTAGTGTCTTCTGCCTCACCTGCCTGAGTTTTGACCGCTATCTGGCCATCGTGCACTCTCTGTCCAGCAACAAGCTGCGCTCCAGAGGCACCATGCTGGCATCCCTGGGTGCTATTTGGTTGCTGTCTGGGCTCCTGTCTGTGCCCACGCTGCTCTTCAGAACAACAGTGCATGACCTCAACAACAATCAGACCACATGCGCCATGGACTTTAGCCTGGTGACCATAAACCAGGGTCATGAGAACCTGTGGATCGCCGGGCTCAGCCTGTCCTCCTCTGCCTTGGGGTTTCTCCTACCCTTTTTGGCCATGACCATCTTCTACTGCTTCATCGGCTGCACTGTCACCCGCCACTTCAACAACCTGCGCAAGGAGGACCAAAAGAAGAAGCGTCTGCTGAAAATCATCACCACACTCGTGGTGGTTTTCGCAATCTGCTGGACTCCTTTCCATGTGCTAAAGAGCCTGGATGCCCTCTCCTACCTGAATCTGGCCCCGAACTCCTGCGGAGTCCTGCGTTTTGTGCTTCTGGCTCACCCCTACGCCACCTGCCTGGCCTACATCAACAGCTGCCTCAATCCCTTCCTGTACGCCTTCTTTGACCTGCGCTTTCGCTCCCAGTGCTTGTGCCTGCTCAACCTGAAGAAGGCCATGCACGGCCAGATGAGCTCCATGTCTTCCACTCTCAGCGCCCAGACTCAGAAGTCAGAGATTCAGTCTCTAGCTACCAAGGTTTAAAGTCCAAGAGAAGGAGTGAAGCATGAAATCATGGCTGCAGGACAGTCCAAGCTCCAACCACTGGAACACTTCCTAGAATAAAAACTTTATGAATCAGATGTTAAAAGCTGGTAAGGAGACATGATGAACTTTGAACTTTCACTGCCTTCAGTCTTGATGTCCGATGTATATCCCTCCTATTTTGCAAGAGAAGCTGAAGCTCTATGTATTGTGCGGACTTGACAAGCTAGAGCCAGCTGGCTGAGCTCTTTGGCTTCTCTGGTCCTCAGATTCTCATAGAAAAAAAAGTCTATATTTTTTTGTGTTTATGATTTGTAAACTGAAACTCACATACACTGGATGAAACATATGGCTGTACAGTATTTTCATACCCTTCTTTTGTCTACAACCCTTGCTGTTTTGTTTTCTAAGCACTTGTAAAGACTTAGTGAGCAGAAGGATCAAACAGAAAGCCTGATGGAAGAGGGAGGGAGGTGTAAGAGGAGAAAAGGTGTTGCAGCTTAATTATATAGTTTGTGGAGTAAAAGCGGGGGGGTTGGGGGGGCATATGGCAGTTGACAAATGTTGTAGAACTGGAGAGGGTTGAGGGTGGGGAGGGCTGAGAGGTATTTTCCTGTAGTTGCGGCACTAAAAGTGAGGACATGCAACTTTAAACGTGTTTCAAAATGATGTATATGCTGTATTTTATGACACCACTGTAACTAACTACTGCATTAAAGACGTGTGCTCCAAGCCTGGATTCCTTAGACTCAATGAGTTTGTGTCTTTTATGAGTGTGAAGATTTCTAAAGAACCACAAGGGAAAGTTTTGATACCAAACACAAATATTTAACCTGTAGTTTCACATCAGTTTCATCACCCTGCCTGATATTTCAGTGTCAAGTATCCCACTAAAGGGTCAAAGCTTTGTTATGAATTGGGTTCACACCTTCAGACTAATAGATCTCTAATCTCTATTGATTCACAGCCAGTATCCAGACTGTAACCGGATTATGCAAAGTGGCACCCATCCTTCAGTTTTGTGTATTTGACACTCAGTTGTGATTTCCACCCTCTGTGGGGCTTTAACTGCTTGATGGTTCAGTCCTTTGGGTCTCCTTTAAGGCTGTCTATAGCTCTAAAAAAAACCCAGAAGGAGCAGGCGATTCATGTGTTCTCAATTACAAATGACAAAAATAAAAAGGATGAAAAAAAAAATATTGAAAAAAACTGTTTTTACCATCACTGAAAGTCTAAACATGTCTGGAACATCTAAGACCCACATGTAGGTTGTCAGTTGATTTGACAGCGATGCGTCATGTTGGACATAATCACCATTTGTTGAGCATAATCACAGTTTAGGATATGGCGAAGGTGGAGGGGAGGGGTGGGGGCTCTGATCTTGGCAAAAGCTGGGTAGGGGAACAAGTCAATATTTGTCCTTGCTGACAGTAGTGTGCGGTTAGAAAGAGGGAAACAGAGGTGGTGGGGGTCAGGCTGCAGATGCCTCAACGTATAAAACTAGACAAAAACTTGAACTGAGGCAGGGTGGAGAAACCTGGGCAAAAAAAAATTAAAAGATATTAAGCTCCAGAGATCTAGTATCGGCATGTGTGAAGCAGAGAAAAATTTAGAGGCCTCAGGATTTATTGCGTCTCGGTTTGGCTCAGATTATGTGTTACTTGTTCTCCATCTTGGAGAGACTGGAGCAGATTTGATCTCCAGGTAGACCACATGTGGGTTATAGTGATGGATGCCCGGAGCTGCAGTGTATTTATCACATTTATGTAAAGAATCTGGACTGCTCTGGGACACACTTCTTCTTCATATAGTTCAGTTAGAAGCCTCTTAGTGCTCTTTTCTGACTGATGGAAATTTTCGTGCAGTCGGGGAACTAAATCTGAACCCAGATCCTTTTTAGCAGGTTTTATAATGCTTTTATGCCACTTAAAAAAAAAAAAAAAAATATATATATATATATATATATATATATATATATATAATCTTTCACCAGGCAATACTTATAGATATAAAACATAGTAAATTATGGAGAAGTCCATCTTGGATGTTGAACTGGTTGAACATGTTGATGCAGATGAGGTGACCTAGCCTGACAGCTTGTCTGAAGTAGTTAGCAAACCAGTTTGCTTTGGGAAAATCCACTCAAAGCACCAGCTGACCAAAACACAGGGGGTCCTTGGAGAACAACGACAGCACAGATACAACGGTTGTTTTAGGTCACTGGGTTCATCTAAATATTGTCTGCGCCTGGTTGGCCCCTCTTTGGCCTGATGTTTGGGGTTCATGGTTCATCAAAATTTCTAATTCTTTATTTTTTTAAATTATTATTATTTTTAGTAGTAGTTATATCTGTTTACTTGTTTAAATATAACTTGAAATTGAATTTATGTTTCTAAGATTGGTCACTACTGGCAAGCTAAGTTAGATTGTTTACCAACAAACATAATCAACCAACATACAAACATGAATTTGTTTTACTTTCTAAATCTGGAGTGTGTTCAGAGCCCTGAACGGAAGGCAGAATGAACTTTACTTCTGTGCTCCTGTCAGAGTCTGGTAGAGTATTTTTATGCAACATATTTTTATTCAAGTAAGTGTAGAAAGTTGCTATCCAAGAAATTATTCAAAATTTAAAAAAAAGTATTTTGGAAAAAAGTACTCAAGTACAGAGTAACTCATCATAACATCTGATATATAAAATTATGTAATAAGGATGGACTGCAAATGTAAAGTTATGTCAAAAATTCTGGAAATTTAAAGATTATTGTTAAAACAAAACATGATGTAAAGGAAAAATAAGAATTGCAAGTAGAAGAAACCATTTTCAAAGCCATTTTTTTTTACATAAAACATATTAAACCAGTACCTCCAGTAAAAATATTTAAATCTTACTCTATATTAGCTTGACCTCCAAATGTCATGGTAGGTTCAAGTAAGCTGGTATACAAAAATGACCCTCATTTTTTTATTTTATTTTATTTTTTAATTTGAATTAGGGCAATGCACATTCATCAACATGTCAGCATTAAGCATCAATGTAAATATGCCAGAATTAGCACAACAGCTAATTTGCATCCGCTGTCCTAAGGCAGGTAAAAACAGTGAACATTAAACAAGACGCATTTTGACATAAACATTAACTTTGTGTCTTTTTTTTCTTAAAACAAACCTGTTTCAGTAAAGTTACTTATGATAGATTTAGTAGCAATTTTACTCAAGTAATAGTAGTGTTATTTTATTAAGAGATTACTCAGGTGAAAGTGTTGTACATTACAACTACTCTCAAAAGTTGTTGTTTTTTTTTATATCAAAAAGAGTGTAAATAATTACCACCCACAACTTCCTAGTTAATAAAGTCAGGGTTATATGTTGTTTTAAAGTTATTTGTTGTTGTGTGGCTCTTTGTATGGGGCTACTTTAATTATGAGCATGTGGCAAACAGTTTTTCAAATGGATAGTCTACATTTTTTCAAACAAGAGCCTTTTTTTTGCATCCACAGTTTATTTTCAGTAATAATAAAAAGAAATAGCTGAGCAGTGATGATCATGAGCATGTTCCTATAGGAAAATACTTAAAGGACTGGTGTGAATCTTTACTACAAATGAATGTGGCAAAAACTAAAAACATGCTCTTTGATTTTCTGAAAAATCATCTTTCCTGTTGGGATTGAGAAAAAGTATTGGGACGGGTCAACCATCACATGTAACGTGGAACTTATATTGATGGTAAGTTGTCTTTTGAGGGTGTAAAAAGGCCCACCGGTGCACTTAATTTTATACAAAGCTGAGAAGCTTTAATGTTGACGTCATTTTCATGCAAATGTTTTATTCTTGTTTTAGTAAATCCACACTTTCCTTTTCTTTTATTTGTTAGCACGGCTCTATTTCCCTTAGGAAGAAAAGTAGACTGCAGGCTACATTAAAGGTGTACTAAATGTTTTTGTATTACTTCTAACTGTATATCCAAATTTCCCAATACAGAGAATATTCTCTCCTTAAATCTTTGAAAAAGTAATAAAAAAAAGTGTTGGATTAAAAGTAAACCAAACCTAGGCAAAAAAGCAAATTACATAACAATATAGCCTGAACTACGTTGAGTTTGTTTAAAAATCTAAAAATATTCTTTAATAAATCTTTGAGCTGTTAATAGTTCTTGTTATAAGCTAATCAAAAGATTTACACTATATCAAACAACCCGAGCCAGATAGAATTCATCCCTGTGAGAAAATCAGTTTCTAAATCAGCTTTTTTGGTCAAAATGATGCACACAAACAAGGAAGTTAGCCCATCATTGATCTTGCTATGTGAAACGAATACTGAAAATCTGTAACTGGTTTTTGGTCAAAACAAACGGATTTATGTGAACTTAATGCTGCTTTGCAGATCAGCTAACCTTCTGTCATAGTAATGCTGTCTAGAAAGGCATTATATATCCTGTTCTTATTAGCGTTTTAAACAGAGAGATATGCATCCTATGTTCATTTTCTGGAAAATTGATAAACAGCTTCTGTCTAATGAAGTTAGATGTTAATATTTCTTTTTAAAGAGGACCTCAATTTAAAAATCCTAAAACATTCCTTTAATATTGGTATATACACTAATGAAATAGCTATTCCACCTTCACCTTTCTTTTACTAAAATTCAATAGTTTAGCTATTTGGTTATTGTGGTGTGTTTTCCATTCATTTTATTTGCAAGATCCTTTAAATTTTGGATTTCTTTTCATACTGTGTAAAAATACTTGAATTGTCCAGCATAACCAGCCCTTTTTCAGTCTGTTGATCTGCCACACCCACATGGGACATCTGAACCAAAACACAACTGCTGTCCTGTCCTTAGATCTCCCTGCTGTTCCATCCCACCCAGGCTGCAACAAATGCACCTTATGTCACCATGTATGTGTGTGTGTGTGTGTGTGTGTGTGTGTGTGTGTGTGTGTGTGTGTGTGTGTGTGTGTGTGTGTGAACATGTAAACAAAGATGCAACACATTCCTTGGACTGTCAACACTGGCCCTACTTTCTCTGCATTCATCCACCTGTTTCTTAACGATAACACACAGAGTATATAAAATAACACATGAACACAGTCAGTGTGTGTGTGTTTGTGTGCGTGTGTACCTGTCTAGCCAGAGTGAGGACCAGTTGTTGCAAAGTGAGGACATTTTGCTGGTCCTCACAAGCCCGTGGTAAATTATGAGAAAGAACTGATTTACTTTACTTTGACAGGTTAAACAGAAAAAGAAAAATACTAAAATTCCACAAAAATATTATTTTTATGAGTGGTATATAAATAATTGCTTTCTCACCCACCCCTTGTAGTCCCAGGCGGGATGGGTGGCTCCTTGAGGGCTGATTGTTCATCTAGCTGTCCCCAGAACTGCGTTTTTCTGGACTGAGATCTCTGATGTTTCTCCAGGTATGTGTTGGAACCGTCGCCTCTCCAGTGTGGGGGTTACTGCCCCCAGTGCTCCAATGACTACCGGCACTACAGTTGCCTTCACCTTCCAGGCTGTTTCTAGTTCTTCCCCGAGCCCTTGGTATT